CTGATAGTCTTCTCAGCCTTCTCCTGCAGCACTCCCCAAAAGACTCTTGGCCCTTTTGTACTGTTCACCTCCTCCCTTTCAGACTCTTCAACTGCTTGGCAGCTGACCAGCATTTGGGAGAGGTGAATGGTGCAATTTTCCATGCTGATGGCTTCCATACATGTGGGAGGCAGCAAGCCTGAAGTCCCCCACTGCTGTGTGCTGTGGAGTTTCTGCTGCCCAGCCTGGGAAATCCCTTGATATGCGCCAAGGGGGCTTTAGGTTAGCTGCCTCTTACATACATTGTGGGATTCTCCTCATCCCCCTTTAGAGCTACCTAGCCTTTTCTTGTCATACAGAGAAGACTCAGAGGGGCTCCAAGGCAATGGACATTTTGCTCTGGTCTTAGATGCACTGTGGAGCATCTTGCAGAGGGTGCTTCATTCAAAGTTTTGTCAAAGCAAGACTTTCTTTTAAAGATTTTTCTAGCCCTAACATATCCTTCAATTTCATCCTCAGAAGAACTCCCTGTGAAGTAGGTTGGACTGAGAGAGAGCAACAGGCCCAGGTCAACTGGTGAATTTCTATTATTGACTATGGATTTGAACCTCAATTTCTGTGGCCCTAGTCCAGCATCATAATCACTACATTATGCTGATTCTGTTAGCAGTCTTTCTGGGCTGTTCCTATATTGTAATGTGTTGCAGTTCCAAAAGAAGCCTGTAAACTTGACCTTGGAGCTGCAACAGATTCTGGAAGCTGAAAGACTCTAGAGCTGTACTGTAGAAAAAATAGAATTCTTGAGGCTTCAAGTATAACTCATAAATTTTCAGTTGATGTTTTTAATCCTTTATAGCTCAAACATGAGCTCTCATGGTAGCTATCAGTTTTATCCTACTTAATAGCTAAAAAGTGGGGCTTTAGTGTGGCTTGCAGTTTCATACATTATGAAACGATGTAGGAGAATCATTTGCCCTTTCATATACTATACTTGGCTGCAGTTTCCCTTCAATTGCTAATAACCGTGGTTGCTTATGTATTAGTACTTGTGATCTTCTTAATATAGTTTTACTGAAACCATTTATACTGCTGGCCTGCTTTGTGACTTGTGGTTGCTACAATATTTACACCTTTATTTTGTGATGATCATGCTTTTAGTTAATAACACTTCAGAATTGCAAGCCACAATTATATAAAGATAAACCACAGAAGCAGCATTGTTAGATCATCCAAAATTTGCAAAGACTGCGTAGATGAAAAAATATTCTGTAGTTTTTTTACCACTCCAAATTGTTGTCACTAATGGGCTTTATGAAGATGATTTCATTTGAGTGCAATGTCTCTAATATATTTTACATGTTATATAAGACGTTATCTGAGCACAAGTGCTTCATTACTCTGACTCTCTTTCTTGTACCAACTTTGTTATGAAGCCTAATAATTTGCAAGAGGATCAGTTTTCTCATGCTTTCAGCTGCCCCTTGTTGGACAGGGAAGTGTTTCTCCTAAAACAGACAAGTTAATTATAAATGCACAGGCCCAAAGACTGAGTTTACCTTTTGTGCCATAAACCCTGGTAGATTTAACCATGATGTATTGAATATTACCTACCTAGCTGGGTTCAAACAATATGCTGAGCCAGAAATACACAGTTGTACAAAGAGAATTTCTTTTCATTAGGGAGACAAAACTAAATGGAGGAGAGAAAATTAAATATCTGCAGTACTAGCAGAATAAGCAGGGCAGAGGTGAAGTATAGAAATGAATGTGGGACAAGCTTCTGTCTCATGGGGTTTCACATGTGTCATTAGCTGCAGAATTCCAGCTAAAAACTCTCATTCTGGCCCTCTTCTGAAGTCACATAAGCTGGAAAGGAACTGTTGCCAACGTTCCTAAGAGCAGATGCAGTGAAGTAGTTGGGGAGATAGGGCACAACTTTCCATTCTCACATGCTAATCATTTCCACATGCATGTAAAACAGAATAAGGGAATGGAGAAAGGAGAAGTCCCATATGGAGAAGCAGATGTGAAGCAGTTACCAGACTGGTAAGTTGAGATAATAATGCTTTTATTATCTGAGTGCTCTTCTGCCTTGGCTTCCCACATTTTCGACACAACCCTGATTGGAGATGCTTAACTGGCACACAGAGCTTGGACCAATCCCCAAATGTGCAGCCAGGTGGGGCTGGTCTGGTCCCAGCCAAATGGACTAAACTGATAATAGAGCAGCCCTGTAAACAGGACACTCCACCCTGCCACTGCTTCTCTCACAAGCCATCTTTTTCTTGAAGTATGCATTGTTTTGCAGCCTCTGGTGTATTTTTAGGTTGTGCTGCTTTGACTGGGACAGGAAAATGCTTCAGACCAGCTGTGGATCTGTTATCTTTCCAGCTTTGCTAACAGTGTACAGGCACTGATTACCAGATCTCTTTGCCACAAGCAGTTCCAACCACTGATTTATTTGTCAGTCCTAGGCTACTGAGAAGGGGGACTGTGGATCTCTTCGGTTTGAAGAGAGATTGCCTTTTGTGTCACACTCAGGAAAGAGTAGAGTTTTCCGGCTGAAGAAGGAATGCTTCTAAGCAAGCTTTATGTTCAGGCATATCCTTCTGAAGTTGAGTGCATGTGCCTCAAATAGACCCTGATGTGTAGTCAACAGCCAGCGGAGAGAGGCCTTAAATAGCTGCTGAACTGTTATGAGTCAGGAGCTCTGAACTGGAGCTGCCAGAGATCTCCTTGGCAGCAGACCAGGTGATCTCTACTTTACTTATGAGTACATATTAATTTATGTGTAAATGAAAAGCAAACAGTCCCCTGCCTGGGGCTTTAGTTGGCATTTTTCTCCACTTAAATGCAGTAGCTGGGAGCGTAATGGTTGAGAATCAGCTGTGAGCTGGGAAATCTTGGCTTTACAGTTCCCTTATCAGAATCCATAGATGTCTTAGGACACAGTTAACAGTGGCTCATGTTATGCGAAAGCAGAATGTTGTCAGCTTTACTGATGGAATGAATGCTTGTTAAACATTAATGTAATTCATAAAACAAATGAAAAGGTTAACTCAGAAGGCTTTTCCAAATGACTTTTTAAAAACAGTTTGTCTTCCTAATTCACACTGGTGTCTCTTCTTGCTGATGGTGCAATATCATCTTCCCACATAATTTGGGAGTTTCAAAATGAAACAGAACAGAAAACCAAAAAAATATATATAATCTGCTTCTTTCCAGTAAGGCTTTTAGATACAGGGTGAGAAAAGGTGTGCATTGTGAAGATTAAACAATTCTCTTCTCAGGACAAGAAAAATGGTAGGCATCATAATATTGTATAAATGGGCAATGCTACTAACATATTTTATTTTCAGCACTGTGTGGGTTGTTTTGTGCTTGAATGGTTTAGGGAGAAGTGAACTCCTTAGTCAATTGTGCCAGGAGCGGTAGTTTTGCAACATATAGAAAGCCATAAGTTTCTTTTTGCCTCTTTTATATACAATGGTTTGGCGTGGCCACATTCCCTACAGGTTCTTGCATCTTAGTTCAGCTTTCCCCAACCCTGTATCCTCCAGAAGTGTTGCACTTGAACATTTATTAACCTCTGCTGGTATAGCCACTGGTTCAAGATACAGGGACTTATAGCCTTCACACAACTGGAAGTCCCATGTCGGGGAAAATAGCTGAAAAATTCACTAGCTTCCATAAATGTTGATGTCTCTAAAAGGAAATGGAAAAGTTTGCTGCGTATGACTGCTGATGATAAATGTAGCTGTAGCCTTTGGCACTATAAACAATATATAAAATGATCTTGCACTGGTATTACTAGGGAAATGGTAATTTTTTTCAGAAAAATGTCTAAAGTTACTAGGCTTTGCAAAACAGTAATAGGGGAGGAGAGATAATCGGCAAGCCCAGCCTAAAAATAAAGGAGGAAATTGCATTCTTGTTGACTTGAGCAGCAGTTGGGAAATGAATATATTTAGATGCAATTAGATTTCTATCCCAAGGGCTGAGTGTTACCACATCTTGTCTCATATTTCATCTTCACTCCTCTGGGGAATATTCAACTGAGAAAAGGCATGAGTTGCCCAAGGCCACTGGGTAAGCTAATTTATTGGTAGCTTCTTGCTCTAAGTCTTGGATTTGGATTGCAGGGCTCAGAAAACTTTATTTGGATTGCTTTAGTTGTGAAGTACTTCACTTAAACTTCATACTCTGAGTTTTTTTGCTGTTGATGTATATTTTAAAAGGAGAGGGTAGCAGTTCATTTTGACTTACATACAGTGCATATTTACTAAGGCTGGAGAAAGGAAAAAAAATGCTGCTGGTTCTTGCTGCTAAGAGGTTATTTGTTCTCTGTTTTCTCACCCCACTGTTAGTTAGTTTGGCCCCTGGAGAGCTGTTTTATATATTTGTGTGTGTGTGTGTGTATATGTGTATAAATAATTTTTATTTTATATATATATACAAATATATATATTTGTATATTTATATATGTATATGTATATATAGTGTGTGTGTGTGTGTATATGTATATATATATATATTAAGAAAAGCTGTTTGTGTCTTTCCAGAAAACTAGGGCTTGGAAATTATGATGTTCAGCTAAAGACATTTGATTACAGCAAAGAGCTAGTAAAATCAATAAAAAAAAGAATGCTCAGTCAGTTGATACTGTGTAATTCGTGGCTGAAGTACCATTTTTTAAGCATGTCTCTAAAATGTGTGGCAACCGCTTTGGTTTTAAGGGTTATATGTGTTTTCCCCCCACCCATACCACCATCATACTGGGGAAGAGGGCACGTGCAATTGGGATTAGTAGTACAGTGGTATAGGCTAATAGGGTGGAATAGAAAGCTATTTGTGGCTGGCTACATAGGAAGCCTCAAAGCCTAGAATAATAATTGAGGGTAGATGTGACAAGGAGTGTGTAAGCTGCTGCTGAAAGCAGTTTGATAGAAGTGGTGCTTGCATTTTTTAGCAGACCTATTCATTCATTCATTCTTACCTTTTTTTTCTTTCCTATTGTCTAGCTAGTGTTCCATGTGCTGCTGGCGCTGCTGAAAAGGCCTACCGGAATAGACCTCCCAGAGTACGGCGGACATCATCATTAGATACCATCCTTGGATCATACCTTATGGGTCAGTGGCCTCGGGATGCTGAAGGAGTTCCCTTGTCACATATGAGTGACAAATCTACCCAGGTACTGGGGCTATCCTTCAACTCACAGAAGGATCATACAACTTGGGAGCAGGTATCAAAGAGAAATGGTGAAGGAATTGGAAATCAAGAGAGCTAAATATTGTCTGTCAATGATTTTGCTATCTGATTTGGCTCCTTAAAAATCAGAGGGGATCATTATGTGTTTCAGTGCAGACTTTCAGTCAGAATGCCTAATTTTAATTAAAAAGGCTGACACATAAAGGAAAGGGGGTTGCAAATTCAAAAATCAACCTTTTGCCCTTGTATCTTTAGCCCTTCTACTTGTCCCTTGTTTAGATATACTCCTCCAGCACCTTCTAAATCCTGGACAATTCTGTCTCCAGTCAGGCTATGTTCCACCTAGCCAAACACATGCAATGCTAAGTTTAGGAGATGTTTTCCTTCATCTCCTAGTGATTATTGTCCCTTGCCATTGCTAGAGTTCCTAGTATTCCATTCTGCAGTATGTGTTACACAACTACAGAAATGTGGTTTCTAGTGTGGTTTAGGTGTCCTAGGAACCCCAGCTTTTATCTGACCTGAAAAATAAACATTGTAATCTACATGGCTAAGATTCATGAAAAGTATGACATGAAAAAGGAGATATTTGCTCAGCACTTACCATTCTTTACCTAATTTCAATCACATATATCCTGTCCTCTTTTATAGCAGCCATGTCTATTGCAACAAAAGCAAGAATTTGTGGGACCTTTAAAAATAGACTTATTGCATATGTTACCAACTAGAACCTGCTCTAGCAATACACTGACTATCTGTTTATCTCAAATCAAATCAACTTTAGGCCATGAAAGTTTATATCATAGTAAATTCTGTTAGTCTTTAATGTGCCACAATAATCTGTATAATAATTAGATTAGTAGGCAAGTAAGCCAAAGTGTCGTCCTCAGTCCATAGAATTTAGGGGTAGATAGCGTATGATGCCCAGACTCCTTTTTTGCAGCCCTTGCAGCTATTTTCATTGCCTGTTGATGAAAACAGGTAGTACACTGCCTTGCATTTTGAGATAGGAAACATACAAAACAGTAGTGGATGGCCTGAAACAGGTTTAACATACTTTTAAAAAATGAAGAAAACCCATCAAACTCCCCCAAGAGCCCCAGGAAGAAAAATCGTAAAAGGACTCATTCATTTTATATAATAGTTTTGCTTGTTGGGACCCATTGGCCTCTTATCACCAAAAGGTTGTCCATTTGTGGTCAACAAAGATATATCTAATAGCTGAACTCAACTCTCTTTATATGCTGATTCTCAAAGACACAAAGATTATGCATTTGACTATTCAGTATATCCTGTCCCCAAGTGCTAAGATATGTAAGTGGTAATTATTTTTTCAAAATCCGTGTCAGTGTTCTCCAATGTATTATGGTATACTTGCAAAAATTATGTGCATCAGGGTGTGAAGGCAAGAGAACTATCCTTACTCTGTCCATGTCAGCTCAAAAGACATATAAAATAAGTATGCTATATATATACTCATAGTTTCCCAGTTGACTATGGTTAAGTCTGTCCATGTAGTTTCAGCTGGGAAACTCAGCATCCTAGATCAAGCTAAATCCAAAAAACACGAGGGAATTCCTGGAAGCTTGGTATTCAGGCAAATCAGCCATCAGTAGACACATAAAGATAAACTACATTTACACACCATTCAAAAGAGACGATAAAAAAAATCTAAGAAGAAAACAAAAAAACTAGAACACATCTTCTCCAGCAACCAACACCTAGATAAGCAGGGATTAACAGCAGACAACAATCAGCAGAAAACACCCTAATCAAGGAACTACCAAGGAGAAAACCACACCTCTACCAACACTGGCAGGGCAAGCTACTGTATATAAACAGGAAGCAAACCCACACTCACTAGCACTGATGATGTTACCTAGACGAGTAATGAAATGTCTGTGAGCAAACAACCAAGCTCAGAGAGCTCCAAGGACTCCACGCTTCTACCATAATTAATGTGTTAGTCTTTAAAGTAGGATCTAAACAAGAATTTCTAAGTTAATGTGTGTATAAACCCACTGATAGCATCTATATCTAGACTGTTGGGGTGTCATAGTCTAGTCGCTTTGTCTGCAGCTTTCTAAGAAAGTCCCTCCTTCTCCCTCCTCCTCTGTGCTTCTCCTAGTGGAGGCAGTGCTTGATTCTCTTCGGCTTTGTGGCAGAGGCAGTTGGCCTTTGGCCCTCTCCTTCTGGAACAGGCTTAAGGATAGGTTTTTTTTTCAGCTCTGCTTACTGTTTTGGGCCAAAGTTCTTTATATAATGCTTCTGGGCTATATGCAATGCACTACTTTAAAAATGAAGACTCTTATGATGGGATATCTTGCTTGGTGCACTCCTGGATGGAGTGGGAAGCCCCTAGCACTCAAGGAGCACTTAACAACATCTAAGGATTTCTGGATTTCTGGAACCCATGGCCCTTCTGAAAAGTGTGATCCCAGTCCATTCACCAGAGCAACTTATTTGCAGCAAATTCTCCCTTACTGTGATATATAAATGAAGCCACTATGGTGATGAGCCTGCAGCTAGGGTATATCCTTATGTGAGAGCTAGAATAACTATTTTTCAGTATCTAAACAAAAGCACATAGTTTACTAGTTTCTTATTTGTGGCATGCTGGTGTTCTGTATGGAAGGGTAGGGAATTACTGGTAGGAGCTTTCTGTCTTGTCAACACTAAATACATAATTTAAAGCAATATAGCCTAAATGTAGACTTACTACCTGGTGAGACCTAGGCCTTTTGTCTTCTGTGATGATGGAACATGCAGACCATGTAGCCTCTGTTATTCATAGTGGCCAGATAGGTACATGCTAAAGAAGCTAGTGGGTCTCGGTACACAAGGCAGGTGGTATATAATCTTTGCAGAGTGCCCTTAAATATGCAGACCTAACTAAGTTCTTTGTTGAGCCAACTGAGATCAAGAAACTTGGGGCAACATGACTCAGGGCCTATCACATTTTACATCTCTTATAACAAAATTGGGTTGAGAGAGTTAGCTTACTAGCCAGCTTTGGTTGAGCTGTGGACATGACTACAAGTCTTTGTTCTCTGATGCCTTCCAAATGCCTTGGGTTTTAACTCCTACTAGACAACCCATGACCCTTTGGGCCATCATTTCAGAGATATTTCCTTACCTAAACAGAGAAACAGAATGACCAAGGGCAAAAAAGCAGTGGGAGTGGGAGTGACTTGTGATTTACTGCTGGCTTCCCCATTGACTTTGCTTTTGGAAAGCTGGCAGAAGTCTCCCTTCCCTCCCTCCC